GTGTGTGTGTGTGTGTGTGTGTGTGAGAATGTGTGTGTGTGTGTGTGTGTGGTTGGGGGGTGTTGTATCTCCTCCCTACTGTTTTATTGCCTCTGCCATGTATTCACATGTTCTTATGGGCTTTTCCAATTTAACCACTGGTTTGGAAATAATGAAGGGAGATAAGGAAAATTGATAAGCATGGATACGTCCATCAAATGGAGAAAAACTCGAACTGAATGGTTTGTATGCTTACTTCACAGGCGTTTAGCACAATTACTGTGAACTACTGTGGTTTGGGCCTCTAGACACTTTATCATCTGAATGCGTAGGTGTGATTCTTTTCTATATGTTTTCTGGCCATATAAAAAAGGATTTCGCTTTTTATAAAAGAAATGACCTGTATTTTTAAATCTGTAAATTATTTGAGGCTTTTATTAATTTATCTTATTTTCTTCTGCTAAATAAATGTTGGGTGTACAAACCCGATTAATTGCGCATTTGTTAAATTTTGCAAACCAAGTCGTCAAAATTGTTACCAAAGATTTAAGCAGAAGAACAAATTTTGTCATATGTCACTTCCCGACTGTCGCTATCATGTGCTTGTTGATACTGTGGATCCCAGGATTTCCTGGGGTGCACAGGAGCAGGGAGGGAATGGTCAGGCTCAACTCCGGAGGGAAGCCACAGATGGGCCTGACCTTTTCGGCATGTCAAGCAAAGGTTAGAAATCTCCACTGGCCTTAAAGCAAATGCACTTGTTTGCCATAATGGAGAAAGCCCCTGTCCTTTTTTTTCCAGCTAGAGACCAGGTCTGGTCCCAGGAGAGTTCCCCATGATGGAATTCTGTCTGCACACACACACACACACACACACACACACACACACACACAGCGAGGGTCTGCTGTCTTTACTGCAGTCTGCTAATTAAGTTTAAGTGTTGAGCTTTCTGGTATCGAAACCCGCCAAACTCCACATGTTTTATTAAATGAAAAATTTCAGTTTATAAAATGAGCTACATGATGTTTGCCAATCCCTGTTTCCTTTTTCATGTCATTTCAGAGGGAGATGATGAAA